GAACATTACATGACATAGGTGTGCATACATACATGCAGGCAAAACACTCATGTGGGAATGGCAATAATCTGGACTAATGACTTTTAATTAACCCCAGCAAAACCATGTGCTCTTGTGTCTTGTGACCTTGGCACCTGATCTCATTTCCTAGGCAACATGAATTTGGTACTCCACCCAAAAAGATAATGAATGAATGCATGAACCAACAAATGTGGGTATGCTTGAGAATTAATGCATCAAAACGCTGAAAGGTGGCACCCCATCTTCACTGGACAGAGTAGAGATTGGGAAAGAAGGTAACCTTGAATGAATAACATATTCTAGAACTAGGGATGAAAAGACAGGATGGTCTGTTAAGATTAGGATGGCGCCAAGCTTGTACTTCCCCAATTGAAACTGGAAAAGCAAGCCATTTTGAATAAAATTTTGGGTGGGGCCCAACTCAAGACAATTTCAGAGACAGAGTTCCAACAAGACAGCTGGTTCCAACAGATGAGTGTCCTCTGAGTTCAGGACCACTCTTCAAAACTAAATTTAAGAATTAGGCTGTTATTTGTTCAGTTGATCATAATGCTGGCATAGTAATACCGTACTCATACACATAAAATAAAAATAAAGAAAAATTAAGTTATTCTAGGTTATGATTATAAATATAGGTAATATGTAAAAAAGGCCTTGCAGTTTTGTGGGTGATTTCTTCTTTTCTCTTCCAAATTTCTCTGACATTATGGTTGCATATTTTTAAATTAAAAATGGAAAACAAAGCTATTTCTATATCATCTAACCCTAACATCTAAAATGAGAATAACACATGTTGCTAAACTTAACTTAGAAGTGCCATTAACTAAATTACACATGCTGAGATTGTTAGGCTAGAAATACTAAGTCTATTTACATTGTTAGAAAGATTGCTAAATCTAAAACATGCACTTATGAATGCACAAGATGCCATTTTCCTGATCTGAGGGATTGCATGTCATCTTTGTGTTAATTATATAACCTCCCCATATTTCTGGAACTAAGACAGCTATTTTTGCCTGATCATGCTTCTGAAACCCAAAACTGGTAGGCAAAGACTACCAGGCATGTTCAATCTACAGCCTTACTGGCCATATGCACCCCAGGATAACTATGACTACAGCCCAACACAAAATCATAAACTTACTAAAACCTCATGACCTTTTTAAAAATGTTCTTTATTTTGTAACTCAATTGCACAGTTCTCAAGCATGAACTTTGTAGATGACAATGCTGCGGTGCAATGTCAAATGATAGTCACATTTGGAAACTGTTCCAAATTATAATGAAATAAAGCATCCACATATACCAAACACCAAACATTTACATTTGAACCCAGAAACACCAAAGGCAAAGTGTGAATAGCAAATACAGAAAAAAAATCTACAAACTTATAGGAAAAGAAGACAGAGTAAGGGAAAAACTGTACTGAAGGAAGAGGATCACTGGCCAGTAGGTGAATTAACAGAAAAATAATCCTTGCTGTGCTCAGTCTTGAGTCCAAAATTTTCACATGCATCCTAGAGTTCACCTAGAAGGTACTACCTTTTGTCCACTGGCAGAGAGAACTTCCCCTACAATCTGAGTTAACTTTTTTTTTTTTGGTCTTTTTGAGACAGGGTCTCCCTGTAGCCCCAGCTGGCCTAGATTCACTATGGAGACCAGGCTGGCCTCAAACTCACAGAGATCCACCTGCCTCTGCCTCCTGAGTGCTGGGCTAAAGGATTAGAACTTTTATCAGAGAAATAGAAAGTGTAGAAGGCTCCAAATCTAATTCCTGAACGTTCCAAGAAGGCTAAGATAAACCACAGCTGAACCTAGGAATTGCTAGGAAAGGAATGGAAATAGAAGCCCATCAGCTCCATCAGTTACCAGTAGATGACATGGGACTGGAATTGCAGCACTTGAAAGGTGGAATAGTAGGATTAGGAAATGAAGGTCATCCTCAGCTACCTAGCAAATTCAAGGCCAGCCTGGGCTACCTGAGTCCCTTTTTCAAAAAAAAAATCACCAAAGAAGCTCATCAGTTATCTCCATCATTAGACCAGAAGATGGAATCTCCAGTATTAGGTATGCATAGGACTGAGGTTAGAATAAAATCTATCTACCAGTTTAAACAGTACATTAATATTATCAGAATAAGTTCCCTTCTCCTCTGCTTTACTCATGTTTATTTCCCTTTTTCTTCATAATGAGGGTAGGAAAACTGAGCAAAACGGATGGAAGCAAAGAGGAAAAAAAAACAAAGAAATTTAAAGAGAATGCACAGATAAAAGAGAGTATCAAGAATTGGTAGTTAAGAATTTTAAAAACTGGGGACTGGAGAGATAGCTCAACAGTTACGAACACTGGCTGTTCTTGCAGAAGACCCAGGTTCGAATCCCAGCACCCACATGGCAGCTAACAACTGTCTGTAACTCCAGTTCCAGGGGATCCAAGAGCCTCTTCTGTCCTCCGTGGGCACAGCACAACACGGATGCACTTACTTACATGCACGCAATACACACATACACATAAAAATAATAAAAAAAAAACAAAAACAAAAAAGAATTGAAATGGCTCAGCAGTTAAGAGCACTGGCTGATCTTGGAGAGGACCCACGTTCAATTCCCAGCACCCATATGGTGGCTAACAACCATCCTTAACTACAGTTTCAAGTGATTGAATACCCTCTTCTACAGGCATTACACACATGTGGAGCATTGAAATACATGCAGGAAAAACACTCATACATATAGAATTTAAAATTAATCAATTAAAAAGGTATTTTTTAATATTTTATTTATTTTTATTTGATGTATATTTATGTATTGCCTGCATGTAGGTAAGTGCACCGTGTTGTGCAATGCCCGCAGAGGACAGAAAATGCTATCGGATCCCCTGGAACTGGAGTTATGGACAGTTGTTAGCTGCCATGTGGGTGCTGGGATTCAAACCTGGGTCTTCTGCAAGAACAGCCAGTGTTCTTAACCACTGAGCCATCTCTCTAGACCCTAAAAAGGTTTTGGGGTTTTGTTTTTTTTTGTCTTTTTGAGACAGGGTCTCCCTGTAGCCCCAGCTGTCCTGGAACTCACTATGTAGACCAGGCTGGCCTCAAACTCACAAAGATCCGCCTGCCTCTGCCACCCAAGTGCTAGGATTAAAGGTGTGCACCACCATTTTTAAGAATTTAAAAAACTAGGGCTAGAGAGATGGCTCAGCAGTTAAGAGCCCTGGCTGCTCTTGCAGGGGGCTGGGGTTCAGTTGTTAGCACCCACATGATGGCTAATAACAGTCCCTAACACCAGTTCAAAGGGATCCAATGCCTTCTTCTGGCCTCCAAGGGCATTGCATAAATGTGGCGCACTTACACACATGTAGGCAAAACACTCATACAGATAAAAATAAATAAATAAATAAATAAACAAATAAATCCCAAAATGTATAAAACCTCTGAACTGACAAGAAGACGGGGGTCTAACATCAATCAATCCACACATTTTACCATTAGGAAAAGTCCAATGAAATGAAATTTTCATCAAAAGGCAACCATATTCACAGAACAGGAGTCCCTAATGATTACAAATTTCTAATTATACTAACTCAGGTTTCACTGTGAGGAAATAATTGCCAATTGAATTCTAGTGTAGGTGTATTAGAGTACCCTCTGCTGAGTAACATCCAGGTTAAGTGACCTGTTCTTGCTCTCCACACCCCTTCTTTCCACATTCATGATGACCTCATATGATAGACCTCGTACTTGAAAACTGTCTTTATTCAGACTGGCTGTAACATAGTTGTCTCAGCTTTAGATATACTTGAATAGCAAGTCAGCTTTTCCAAAGGCTGGCTGTTAATTAAAACTCATTTCATTCACACTAACAATGAGCGAAATTCAAAGAGCAGCAGGAATCAATCTCCATCCCAATATACAGGTAGTAGAATCACCTTTTAGAAAGTTTCATGAAACTAAATAGGCTTCAAATGATGAATCAGTGTAGAAGCTTATTACTACAGATAACTTCTCAGAGGGGCTAAATAACACCTTCCACTGCTGTCAAGATGACAAGACCACTGTAAGATCATCATCTATAGAGAACCACAAAGCCAAAACTCTTAAGCTTTTTTTTTTTTTTTTTTTTTTTTTTTTGGTCTTTTTGAGACAGGGTCTCCCTGTAGCCCCAGCTGGCCTGGATTCGCTATGGAGACCAGAATGGCCTCACACTCCCAGAGATCCACCTGCCTCTGCCTCCTGAGTGCTGGGATTAAGCTTTTTGACAAAACTTTTAGAGTAAATGGAAAAAAATGAAAGTCTACTCTACTTTGGAAGAGCTCCAAATAAATTCTAGAACCTCCTCTGGTACACTCAAACGGTGCTTATATCTAAAACAGTTAATAAACTTTTCTCATAATCTCAGTATTAGGGAGCCTAAGGTAAGACTGCCAAGGATTCTAGGCATGTCTGGGTTACATAGTAAGTTCCTGGTCAGCCTTGGCACAATATGAGACTCTGTCTTGTCACAAACAAACAAGCAAGCAAACAAAATCTCTTCTTCCTGGCATGGTGGTACATGACTGTAATCCCACTTTCACCAACAAAGCATTTAAGCACCATGTATAACTATCTGCCAAGGACTGGCATAAATAGGTGCTAAAATATTTGCTGAGGAATGAGGTCAAAGTAAAGTTGTCAGCATAGCTTCAGTGGTAGAGAAAGCAATCCTTCAGATTAGGCTGCAGTAGTAATTAAGAGTAAGGGGGACGGGTGGTGTTCAGGAGAGCCCCTAATGAGAAATCCCCACGGACGAGTATACTTCCTTATGGAGGAGAAAAGCAATACAAAACCGTCTCAAAGTTCTATGTCAGCCAACCAAGACTCTAAAACTATATGTTGATTCCCTATTTATTTCTATAAGACTATGATTGGCTTACAACTCTGATCAATCAATTTTTTAAAATGAGTACACATCTATTTCACTTGATTCATAAAGGATAGGTCTCACCTGTCATGGGATCAAACAGCTGATTAGCTTCTAAGTCTGTGAAAGTACTGCTACAGACAGGACATTTGAAGGAAGCCCGGTTGGTGGAATTTCTCTCATCCGTTTCAATCCTCCTTCTCATATGGTCCAATTTATATTTTACCACATTAACAAGAGTGCGATAATTGATAAAATAATAATTATGACGAGTGGTTTTCCCATCCGCAGCAGTCTCCACCCTCATTCTGCATTTGATGAATTTGTCTCCTTTTAAATTATTCAAGACTGATCGAAGTTGCTTCCGATCAAACTTGAGCAGCTCCAGCATGTCCTCTTCTTTTACACAGGGGTTCCGGATCAAGATGTCCAAGGCCAACACATGCTCAATGCCATAAAAGCCCCGGATCACATATTTGGCTAACCTCTTCAACGCTGCTGGAACCTCAGTGAGGACATCGGGGTCTGCCATCTTAGCAGCGAACTTTAATTTTCACTGAATTCAGAAAAATAAGAGAAGATTAGTCAGCATGAAGACAAGATCATCTTTTCAAATCTACATCAAACAATCTCTTACAGGTAGCCAGTAACCATCATGATTCTTAAGAGTGCCAGAAAGGTATTCAAATATGAAAGATTTCTAACACTTTAGCATTTAACAGAGAAAAATCAAGATTTTCCTCTACAGTACACAAAAGACTATCCCTAAAGATCTTCGCATAATCTTTAAATGGTTACTTTCATCAACAGTGTACTCTATCCCAAAAAGCTACTTATTATTTCTGACAATGATGCTTTACATCAAACCCACTTTCTTTCAGAAAGAGAAATAAACAAGCTCACTCTTCTTAATGCTCCAGTGCTCTAGAATGGCTGGAAATTCCCTGAGAAACCCAGTAGTTACCAAAAACATACACTTAATGTCTTTATTTTGTATGTGCCTGTCTTTTATTGAGAATTAGACCCAGGACCTCAAACATGGTAGCCAAGTGCTCTACCACTGAGCTGCATCCTCAGCCCTCATTTCTTTTAAGTAAAGCTTTCCTGCTAAGACTCAAGGATGTTTTACATAGTCATGTTTTCACAACAGAATCACAAGTCAATAAACATAAGTAATTGCTAGTTGGAGTGTCTGACAAAAATTAACAATCGTTGTAACAGAAAGAAATTAATGCTAAAATCCAAAGTACTTTAACCAACCTTGAAAGGTTAAATCTGGTAAGTAAACGCCTTCTAGGTCTTAAAAAAAAAAAAAAAAATGGAAGGGGTCGGGACACAAAGAACCACCACCACCAAGATGGTCTCTTGAAGGGCAAAACTGAAGCTAACTGTGTATAACTTCCATGTCTTAGCCCAGAAAGTTGTCCTCTCAAAGGCCTAACTGGTATGTGCTTGTTAAGACTTTCATGTGACTGTTAAAAATCTGGGCTTTGGAATTCAGTCAGATAGGCTGCATTTCAAAGTAGCTGTGTGAGCCCGACCAAATCTTTTTTTTTTTTTTTTTTTTTTTTTGAGACAGGGTCTCCCTGTAGCCCCAGCTGTCCTAGAACTCACTATGTAGATCAGGCTGTCCTTGAACTCACAGAGATCGGCCTGCCTCTGCCTCCCAAGTGCTGGGATTCCTCCCAAGTGCTGGGATTAAAGGCATGCGCCACCACGCCTGGCCCCTTGACCAAATTTTTAAACAAGTTCAAGCTATGCTTTACTGTCTGTGAAGGAAAATGCTGAGATTAATGAGAAGTATGGTCCTTAAGGACTTACTGAGACAGTTTCCATATAAATTTAATACATTCCAAATTAAAACTGGCCAGGCTATCCACACAGACTCTGTCCAGTGAAATTTCCCTATGAAATAGGAAAAAAAAATTAACAGAATATCCCACTGAATTATTTCAATGAGCAATCATATTTTTAATACTAGTTTCAACTGAGTCTTTTATTTGAAATCAGAAGTTATGAACCCTATCAGATTTAATGTTTTTTATAAGAAATGTTACTATAGCCACAATATTATAAGGGAATTCCTAAATAACTAATGTACACACCTATTGGGGGTGTTTATAAGGTCATATCAATAATAAAGGAAAAATAAAGTAACTTAAATATATTTTTAGAAGCATACACACTCGGGCATAACTACACACAAAAGGAGATAATAAAATAGCACCTAGATATACCTAGGTCCAAACTTGCAACTCTAGAGCTCATCACCCCAGATGCTTAAGGATGCCTGGGTTCATTACAAAAGTAGAATCACAGCATAGTACAAGCACACAGTGCTCTCCTTTCCAATTCTGTCTGCAACCTGTGCTTAAACCCAATTTTCAGTTTTTGTTTTACATGCTCAGTAGCTGACAGAATATAACATACGGCTTCAGAAACAGCCAAAAGACCAAAAGGCAGACAAGTGTCAAAACAACCTATTTTTCCAGAATTACTTCCCTTTTGTACTCCCCTTCCTGTCCCTACCCTCATACACTCCATGATTCAGATCAATAGTTCTCAGCCTTGACAGTAAAGCAGAACCATCTGAGCAGCATCTTAAGAATACTAAAAGTGGTCCCATTCCCAGTTTTCTTTCAGCTGATATAGAAGGGCCAGATCAGGTATCATACCAATTAAAAACTCACTAGACAAAACTGTAATATGCAACAAAAGACCCTGACCATTGCTCTAGATAATCTGTGTCCTAGGCAATTTTATATTCAGTCAATGAACATCCTGTATGGAGAGGTCCCTATCCTACTTGTTCAACCTGTTTTCTTGATCTGAAAAAACCTCAGGGGTGCTGAGTATCCGTGTAAGGGAGTGAAGTGACAACCAGGAGTCTTCAATCCAACAGTTTGAGGCTTTAAACCCAAGTTCCATTTCTTAGGGTGTGGTTCCAGAAAGTCCACAGCCTCAGTTTCTTCACATATAAAGTGCCTTTCTCATACAGTTAATGTGTGAATTAAATAACAAATGGTTCTGCTTCCAGGGCTGACCTGAGTTCAATTAAGTATTGGCCTTCAAAACCAGACCCTCTATTTATAACTGACTCTCACACCAACAAGAGGATGAACTGGTGTGCAAGTGGTGGCACTGTGGTAGTTCAGGAGCTGTAGTAACAAAACCTAAACTTAGGAAGAAAGCAAAAAATTCCAAGGACGAGCTCAGGATATTGGAAACCAGGGTAAGAAAAAAAAATCTTAAATAGCTCTGTTTTGAGCAGCCATGATGTAGGAAAGTACCATGAGAAACAGGTAACATCTAAAGAGGAGTAAGTCATAGAAACGAGGTAGAGGCATTCCCTTTAGAAGTCTATCCTTGAAGATACCTACTAGGCATCTTCATTAGCTGAACTAATGAAACTGAAGCTCAGTGGAGGTACCTTGTTCAAAATCTTACATTTTGAAATTCTCCTTCCTGACCACTGACTTCTCTCCTTCACCACTTCCTCACTCATGATGAATCAAGATTATTTGTCTCTAGATTTCTTAAACTACATAGGTCTGAATTCTCAAACTGGTGGCCCATAGAATGTTTTGAACATTTTATGATTAGTTACCAATATGTAAAAATTATGAGTTCACGTACATTTCAACTTCCAAATCCTTTTGAAGTTGGAAATATGTGAAAAAAGGGAGGCTGTGTTTCCCACATGGTAACAAAAGCTGTAACTTCCATAGCAGCTGACACAAGAAAAGAGCTTCTCAGATCTATGGAGACTTCTTGGTGTGTGGTAACTAAGTCTTCTTTTGTATCTTCACAGTATAATCAGTCATTCCCTGACTTCACCTACCTCACTACCCAGTCCAGACCCACATATATTCTAATCTTACATTTACAGACTATGCTTGCCCAAGCCTGGAGTAGAAGAAACAAAGTTGAAAAGAATACACTCCATCCCCTTTACCCTCCTCAGCCACATACCAACACACCCTTTCCCTCTGTCCTCAAAATTAAACTCCAACCCTTTTCTCCTGATATCCTTCAGGCTTTAAGTGATATTTTCCAAGCCTTCCCAAATTCCCCACAGTAGCATAGAATGATCTCTTCACATTTCCTCATAGTTCTTTCCCATTCTTATACTTTTTCTATGTCTAGCTCTAATACCGGGGACGATTTCTGTTCACCAACTCCAGTACGAAGCACACCTAGCCAGGCACTTAATAAAAAATTTCAATCCCTCTCCTAGGCACCTGTTTTTGTAGTATACCCATTCTGCCAGCTTCCACACAATTCATGTGCTCCACGCCTGCATCCACAATAAAGAGAGCAATAAGCCATTCTCTTCTTAAACTCAGAATTGTTTTTATCAGGGCGTGACTGGAATAAATTTGTGATTTTGAAAAGAGTACGCTGGCTGGAAGAGTGATGAATAAAAAAGAAAAGTGGATGCGGGTCAACCAGTTCGCCTATTTCAGTATACTGCTTCCCCACCTCTAGAACTTGGATTCTACATACATCCACTGCAGTTTTCTGTGACTGTATTTCATGAACTCTCCACCCCCGGGTACTTAAAGCGGCCCAAGAGTGCGGAAGCTCAGGACCCAGGTGTCCATCACCACCAGCGCTCAGTGGTCCGGACGCCGAGACCCCACATGCCCTCAGACGCGTCCAGGGGGCTCCAGGGCCGCACTCCATGCGGCCGAGTCAGTCCTACCCCCCCGAGGTCGCTCACGGGCCGCTCCGGGGCAATGGCTCTTTGGGAGACCAAAAAAAGGAGCGCAGAAGATGGCCGGGGGAAGGGAACTGGACAAGGAGAGGGGCGGACCGGGAAACCGTGAAGACCACGCCGGGTCAGGAGCTGGGAACAAGGAACAGGGAATAAGGTTTTACCGAAGCCGCTCCTCGAACACTCCCACTACGGTTGCCCTCAGCGCTTCAACTACCGGCTTCAGCCAGCCCACGCCACCTGAGCGACAAAGAAAACGCCTAATTCCTGCGACCAGTTTGGAAGCCACGCGTTCCTCCGCCCCTCGAAGGCTTCAATCCAAACAGTCATGCGCAGGCCAGCCAATGAGCCGTCAGGCCCTACCTCCGCGCCCTGCCCTGATTGATCAAGAATCCCAGAACGGGCGTTAGTCCCGAGGAGCCCTTGGCAAGATGGCGTCTCTGGATCGGGTGAAGGTTCTGGTGTTGGGAGACTCAGGTGAGCGGCCTAACCCACCTCTGAGACTCCCGACACTCCTGAGTTGCCCAATACCGCTCTCTCTTTGCTGTTTAACCCCCAGTTTTCTGGCTCTTCGGTCCATGTCCGAAGTCCATTTCAAGGCCTTATGACTACAATTCCCAGAGGACTTTGCTCCATTTGACGAAGCGCTGGCGTGGCGCTTGGTGGGTCCTTCTCCGCCTTAGCATCTTTCTACATTGGCTTCCTTGGCGACCCCAGCCAAGAGTGTACTGCCCTTGCTTTTTTGGATATAGTAAGCATTCAGAAGTTGATAGCTGGTACCTTCATCAGACTTTGTTATTAAGTCAGATGTGCACCAAGGATGCACTGGCAAGCGTTTTGCATATATTAACTCCTTTAATTCTAAAATCAAACCTTTAACTCCATTCTACAAATAATAAAAACGAAGTGAACCGATTTGAACCCGCCTTCGCAATTGATAGTATGCTGTATTATGCAATGAGATATTAGGTGGTAAACATGATTTCCTTTTTGACTTCCTTGTACTCATTTAATAGTTGAAAACTAAGTATATTAAATATTACATAAGTGCTGTGTTGTACGAAATAAAGTAACTAGATAAGGACTGCTCCCTAAGCTCCTAGAACTTAATGCTAAGCCCAGTTCAATCCTAGTGTTAAAATCGTTTTGCCACCTTGGACATTTTATAACTACAGTTGAAGTCCTTATTTTCCCCTCCCATGTCATTACCCTTCTCTTTCCCAACTCTCCTTAAGAACTGTTATAACTCCAGCCATGCATTTTCTAGAAGCGCTTTTCTGGAATTGATCTCTTGTGCTCGAAACATTTTTCTGGATGCTTTGAAGCAGAGAGAACTTACCCCAAAGAGCTTGAAAGCTAGTCTTACAGAAAATATGTAAAATTGTGGTTGAGAGAAGAAAGAACATTTTCATGTTGCCTGAAGATTACCTGCATTACAAAGTATTTTACAGAGAACATTATATAATATTCCCCTTTGAATGTTGCATTATGTAATTCTATGACCATAATACCAGCTTATGTCGACTTCATTTCTTGTAACTAGAAATGGTGCTGAAGTCAACATAAAAAAATTACTGTTTTACAGATGAAAAAAGCAATGGTGTTGTACAGGGTCTTAGCAAGATTATCACTGAGCATACTCTTTTAAGACTGCAGTCCAGCCAGAGCTAACAATTTATCATGATATGAAGAAGTGGATGTTCTTCATGATTCTCGTTTCCACTGTATCTAACAATCCCTTCATATTACGTACTTTTGGAACTAGTCTATTACTGTATTTTTCAACAAGCACTGTATTAGGTGACTGCAGAATCAATGTGTTGCATCACAGATAAATACATTAAAGGCGGAAAATGCACTGTATTAAATGTGGGAACATAGTTAGGCAATTAGTAAGCTTCCTTCTCCACTCCCATTATGGTTTAGTTGTAAAACAGAAGACACATCTATACCCACCAGAAAAGTGATTGATCTTGTCACATAATCACTGATAGAGTGCAAGGTAAGTATATTGTCTCTTTGTCAATATCCTGTTAGCAGTGATTTTCCTTCTCACAGGTTGGAATGCATTTTTTACATTGTCTACCTTTATATTCAAACTCCAAAGTTTGCTTTTTTAAATAACCTTTTAAAAATTTCCACTGTGGAGTTTTTTTATTTATTATTTTTATTTTATGTGTATGATTGTATTGCCTGCATGTGTATAAGTGCACGTGTGTCATGCAATGCCAGCAGAGGTCAGAAGAAGGCGTCAGATTCCCCTGGAACTGGAATGGTGATTGTTAGCTACCATGTGGGTGCTGGGAATCGAACCTGGGTCCTCTGCAAGAGCAATCAGCACTCTTAACCACTGAGCCATCTCTCCAGCCTCTGGAGTTTTTTGAGAATTTTGCAAATACATAGAAGAATGAGTTGAAATTTAGTAGCTCCTTTTGAATCCCACAGAGATTGTTAAGAAATCACAACAACATGCATATGTACACAGAGAGAGAGAGAGAGAGAGAGAGAGAGAGAGAGACTGACTAAGAATGAGCCTAACACATTGCCAGCAGCTATAATTAGAGCAGAATTTAATTATATTGGGTCTTTTTTCCCCCCAAAAGCAAATCAAGTTCATTCTTTTCATCTATTTTTAATTCTAAAGGTGAAAATAGAATCTTAATTTGCAAAAATTCTTAAGGAAATGAATAGTCAGCCACTATTCTGTAGCACATCAGCTGTTCTCAGTGCTGAGAGTTTCATCTCATACTGGCTAACATACCTAAGGCATTTATTCATGGAGAGCTAGGCAAACCACATAATATTACTACATAGATAATTTTATCCTGACACAGTTAAGCTAAACTCAGGCTCAAGCATTATCAAGCCTATAACTAAATGGAAGTATGTGCCTCCAAGAGAAACGTATATGCAAGCACAAAAATCAATATCCTGTGAAATTAGTAGTGGTCAGATGCAATGTAGTAAGTACACTGACAAAACTGAGTTTGAGTACCCTGAAATCATTAATGTTTGTATGTAAAATAATACAAGGGAAACCTGAGAAAATGTTTGATCCAATTGCATGAGATAGTTAATGTCTTTATTATAGAAAGAGCTTATATAGGGCTGGGGATGTATCTCAGTGGTAGAGCACTTGCCTAATATGAGCAAGGCATTATGCAATCCCCAATACTGCATACACAAAAAAAAAGTTATGTAAGTTAATCACTAAAACCCATTACCTAAATGGGTAGATAGAAAATTCATAAAAGTAGAAAGGAAAGTGATTTGCAAAGATGATCATAATGTATATCTTTACTAGAAAGTCAAGGTATGCAGTAAACCAAGATGCCACTGTTTTTCTTATCAAATCAGCAGAGATGAACAATCAACTTCATGATATTGTTGAGGTGAAAGAAATGCAAGTTTGTGTATATGGCTGGTGCAATGTAGCTAGATAAAAGTTGCCAGTGTGTTTCAAGAATGTTTTCCCTTTTATATATTGATTTTAATTCCGGAAGAATATACTAAGGAAATATTTTTAATCTTAAAAGTTAATTAGAACTAGAATATTTTCTTAGTTTAGCAAAAATTCCAGAACTCCCTAAAGATCTAATAATGGGAGAACAGTAGGTAACCATGTTTCTTCTCTGAAATACCAAAGAGATATTAAAATGTTTATGGATATTTTGAAATGACATGCAAACTTTAGTCACTAAATACTAATTAAAGTCTTATTCTGTGTACTGAATGCAAAAATAGGTGAATAACCTCTAACTGAGGAGCTATTGGCAGTTGATGGCTTCGGGAGAAGGGAGAGGCACCCAGCACTCAGGAGGCAGAGGCAGGCAGACCTCTTGAGTTCCAGGCCAGCTTGATCTGTGTAGTAATTTTCTAAGCCTCCCAGGGCTACATAATGAGACACTATCTTGAGTTAATTCATTAAAATTAAAAGGTGGATAAAGGATAGCCCAGCATTCAAGGGACTGAAGACTAAAACCCTGTTCAAGGAACAGAGTGACTAAAACCCATAAATAATAGTGTATTAAAGTACACTGCAAGGAAACATACTGGATACAGTATGGATACAGTGCACTTATGGGTTTACTTAATTCTACTTGTGTGGGGTCAGACTGTATGACTAGAATGATGCTGAATCTTGAAAGGTTAGTACAGCAGTCCAATGGAAGAAGGGTGACAAGGAGATGGCCAAGATATGCCAGTAGAGTCAACTTTGTAAGCAAGGCTATGTTGTTTTGTTTGTTTAGATTGTGTGTAGGGGTGTGTGTGTGTGTGAAATGTGGAGGCTGGAGGACAACCTTGGGCTTCTTGGGTATTCTTCCTTAGGAAACATCCACTTTTTTTTTTTTTAAGACAGGGCCTGTCATTGACCTGGAGTCCCCATTAGGCTAAGGCTGACTGGCTGGCCAGCAAGTCTCAGGGATTACCTGTCTCTACCTCACAAGCACTGGGATTGCAAGCATGTGTCACTGTGCCTGACTGTTTTACATCAGTTCTATAGATGAAACTCGGGTCCTCATGCTTGCAAGGCAAGACCTTTACCAACTAAACCATCTCCCCAGCCTGTTTTTATTGTTTTTGAGTGCCCTATGGTATATGATTACAGTAACAGTCTGCTTATAGAAACCTCTGTATGACTGGCAATAGTGGTCTGTGATGATTTTTCCTTTTTATACTTTTTCAGATGTTGATGAATATATGACAAGTAAACATGAATGATAAGTTCATATGTAATAATGAACACAGAGATTATCTAAATTTTTTATACAATTAGCAGTTCATAAAAATAATGATTGAGTGACTCCGTGCCTGAATGTAGGGAAAGAGTTCATTCCCATTCCTTTTCATCTAGATCTCCAAGTGCTGCCCTTCAGTGTTAATAATGAGATTGCCTGAGCCCAAGACACCTAGAGGAGATAAAGTCCTACCTCAGAGTAAAAGGCCATGATGGAGAAAAGAGAAGAGAATTATTTTCTTAATCCAGAGGATAAATCTGGGGCCAAGTGGTTAGCTGCTTTTATAAAACCAGTGAGAACTAGAGTGCTTTGACTATGAGCTTGTGAGATTGTGAGTCCTGTCACTGATAGTGTTGAAGCAATTTTAACAGAAGTCTGCAAAAGGGACCTTCTCATGGGTGTGTGGGCTAGAGAAATCACCTCTAAGATCTGTTAAGGTTACATAATTCTAAACTAGACTAAGTAGGTTAAAACATTCAAAAAGAATGGGATAAGTTAATATGAAATTGCCCTAGACCAGTAGTTCTCAAAGCCAGGTCCCCAGATTAGTGACTAGTAGCATCAGTGCTAGTTAACTATATCAGAGAGATAGCTCTGAGTTAAAGGCACTTGCCACATTCCATCCATGATGGAATGTTGGATCTTGTGCACGCAGCCATGGGTGCTGTGAGCTCATTAGCAGCAATCATGTCTTGTCTAGAAGACAGCATTTTTCACAGTACTCCTTCCCATCCTCCATTTCTGACATTCTTTCCACCCCTTCTTCAGAGATGTTCCCTGGTTTGGAGGAAGTAGCATATTTAGGACTGAGCATTCTGCTAACTAGAGTTCGTATCTTCTGCAGGTGTTGGGAAATCTTCACTCGTCCATCTTTTATGTCAAAATCAAGTACTGGGAAATCCATCATGGACTGTGGGCTGCTCAGTGGATGTCAGAGTATGTGTCCCTGTTTAATTTTTTAGTAGTCAAACTAAATGTAAGTCCTTCAAATCACATGATCAAATTACAGTAGCTATTTAAAATTAAGTAATAATAGCAACTGGGATTTAGTTCCTATTGTGCACCAACTCTTTACATTTAATCTTTTAATTAATCTTATTTAATCTTTTTTTAAAATGTGAAATATAGGTACAGAAGAGATTGAGACCCAGAGAAGAATGGCCCAAATCATTCAGCTCATTAAAAGCTGAATTGATATATGAACCCACTTGTGTGACGGCACAGACTTCAGTTTTAATCACTGTGCTTTATGTTTAGAGTTTAATTAATGTGCTCCATAAATAATTCTGCCTAAGCCTGTGCCACTAGGCTGTCAACATTTGGCTAGAAATGCAGTATAAAGGCAAAAGCTTCTGGAGCCTCACCTGTAGATCATCTGTTGTGTCACATTTGGGAATCAGGTGCAGTTCCCGCTGAATTAAGTTCAAACATCTGCCCAGGTATTGTTCTTTTCTAATCCCAGCTAAGTCTGGACAATTCTCTCATCTGCTTACATGTCTTCTTACCTTCCAAGTAAGAACAAATGGGGGCCTCGTCAGATGACTCATCAGCTAAAGGGTTTACTTCAAGCCTGATAACCTAAGTTCAGTCTCTGGTAACCCACATGGTGGCAAGAGGGAACCAACTCCAGCAAGTTGTCCTCTGACCTCCACACATATTTGGGGCGGGAACACACACATAATGAATAAATAATTTTTTTAAGGCTGGGTGTTGTGGCCCATACCATTATTTGGGAGTCAGAGGCAAGTGGATTTCTGTGCTTTCAAGACCAGAATGGTCTACATAGTGAGTTCCAGGCCAGCCCGAGCTACATAGTGAGATTCTGTCTCAAAAAAAGGGGGAGGGATGGTAGTTAGCTAGATTAACAGCTGTTTTCTTCTCTTCTTTGAAGCTATTGCATAGGCTCTGACTTGACTAAAAATCTTCTGTCCAATTTAGTTATTATTCCCTCCTAAGGTAATTTTTGTCTAGCTGCTCT